ACTGTCACATAGAGTATCATAGAGTGATTACTTTATGGCCCAATGTTCCCCTGGGAACGTAATGGAATGAAGAAGAAGAAATGCGATTACTTTCGGCAGAAATGTACTTTTCGATAAGAGACCATATTATGCTACAACTTACTCCACAAAAAAGTTCAAGTCCTAAAAAGTTTTCATACGATCCAGTCCTTGTGAGATTGTCAACGGAATGAATTACATGTATAAATAATAATCAATGTTTTATTAGCATGGGATATAAGGTTTGTGGTCCAATTGGATGAACTCTTTTACAAACTATAAAAACGGAATACTTTAAGCTTCTTCTGTATAAACATACAATCGTTCAATCTAATCCATTAATCCACAATCTAGTCATAAAATCCAGAATCATGGTCCTACAATCGTCCAATCTAATTCATTTATTAATCCATAATCCAATCATGCAGTTTCCTAATCTAATCCATTATTCTTTACAAAAAGTGTATTAAAATATAATAACACATAAGCCAAAATGGAGTATTATGTCGGTTGGTGAGTTATGGTATATACTAATTAAAAGTATATTTAAGCTTCATTTAGTAATAGTATAAAAAGAGTTGTATTACTTTAGGTTGTTCATATATAATGTCTAAATAGTTACTAAATCACGTTTGTGTGAAAAACTTTTGTGAAATTTTCCACTCCCATTGTACTAAAGTTTCCTTAATACCGCAGGATGTTACGGATACAGTAAATTATTTTTTCTTGGCTTATAGCACAGACAATTTGTAGACAGACTGCATTGAAGTATTTTTTATTTATTTTTCTATTTCTCAATAAGTGTTTTAAAAAACAAAATAACATTTAAAATTGTTTGTGGCATTTTGTCTGCTTAAATTGATTAACTTTATAATTAATTTTATATCAGCCATACGTGCTTCTTCAGGCCTGAAACATTTCGACTGGATTTTCATGTACTTGACATACTCGCTTATAAACACGAGTTTATAAAAAAAATTAAATCATTTTGAAATACTAGTAACAGACATTCTAATTTGATTAAATTAATTTTATATTAAGACAATCCTTTAATTTATTCTCCTCAGTTTCATATTCTACTCATTTTTAAAATGTTAATAGTTTCTAATATTAATAATAATAAATATTCATTTACTAAAAATATGATTTATCTTATACCTAAATATAAATTTGTTAAAAATAAAAAAAATATATAAAAATCAGATCTGAAAACAGATCATGCCTCGAAGTTGAGGAAACTACCATGCATGCATATTCTTTGTGGCTCTCCAGTTTTAACAACGCACAGAAGAGACTTATTTCATATGGAATTTCTGTCACTAGAACAGATTAAGTACTCCTCTCTAGATTTAGTTATGGACTTTCTTCACAAAACTTTAAGGGGCTTTGTGTAATCAATAATGAAATTGGTACAATAGGACTCTTCTGGTCGCAGTAACAGCTGTTGGGCGATTTCACGTATGCTTATATTTTGAATTTAATATAAAAGACATAACCACAATTATATTTAAAGAGTACTGCTAACTTATTGTTCAAATAAATAATGTGAATTACTTTAAATAAATATATTCCAATCTTGAAGACCCATTAAGTTGGTTGCTGAAGTGCCTATTTCAGGATCACTTCTTTATAGATTTATATTCATCGACTGGATTTTTCAGCTCTTGTACTATTAATATCCGATCAATTGTATAAAAAAACGTTTCTTTTTTTAAGAACTATCACATCACTGTTATTCTCCATTTTATAACATGTATTGCAGTGTTAAATATGAACCAGTGATAATACTAAACACAGCTTGATTATAAAGCGAATAATGTTAGGTGAATGCAGAAATCTCCCTGATTTTGACCATCATAAAGGCACGTTATGCAGTCTTAAATCACGAAAAATGTTATCATCAACTTCTTTATTAATAAAGGTCGAGAATCGACGAGTGCTATCACTGTTGAGATATTAAAAGCAAAGCTGTTGGGTTTTATAACCCAATGAGAATAATTGCATAGTGCTAAGTGACATTTTCAGAGTATACAGAAAGTCAAATAATTAACGCGAAATACTCAGTGGGAGTGCTGAAACGTTTGTGACCCGGGACCACAAACATTGTGATCTCAATCACAACATCCAAAACAGGGTAATTGGTTTTTATTACATGCTGTGAATAATCGTATGTTTCGAAACATTTTTAGACGATTTGGAATAACAAATGGTAAACGCAAAATATTATTCATAAGTTCTGTAACATCTGTGAATCAGAATTGGACGAGTCCGATACCGGACGGAATCTCAAGAGCCGAGTTTTTGGTTTGTGTTGCACGATATTGCATCATAATAGAAAGTTATGATGGTACGTAAGTCTTTATTGATCGGTCACCGTATTTACCTGATTAAATAATGCAAATAATTATTTTATTTTATAATTATTTAAGCTGATTTACTTTTAATATGTATTTTATAAAATTGTTCGTTTAAAATGAATTTTATGCAAATTCATATGTTTGCATACTTGTGTTCTTTCTGATTTTGCATTGCTAATAACTTTGGCAAATAAAAATGTTAAATGTTGAAGCAAATAATGGTGAACCGATATGGATACTTGCATCTGTTGGTACATATGCGTAGAACTCGATTTTAATGCACATAAATTTCCATATTCAGACATTTAAGCTTTACGCTTCATATTTGTCATTAATCAAAATTATTTTATTTGCAAGATTTTGGAGCAATGCACTCCACCTTGCCAAAGCGCTCCGTCCGAGTATTGGCCGTCTGCCTTACTGTCTGCCAATACAAATGCTCAAACATTTTCGACGCATTAAGGAACACTCTAATATCCATTTAACATGCATTTGCCTCTAATGCAATTTTAAATGACTGCAATATCATTTATTCTAATTTTCATTTAAATTTGATGGAAGCTTTATTTGCTTTTGCATTGCTGTGCACACTCCGGCGTCGGAAGAGAAGCAGCCAAATACTAGAACACCCAAACAGCCCAACACCCAAACACCCAAACACCCAGAAGGAAAATGACTAACAAATAGTTTTGATTGACAATGAAATAAATTTAAATATTCTTGAGGAAACTTTAACCACATTTCAGGCTCAGAAAGTATCAGTCGAAAAAGAAACTTTGAGATGAACTCAATTTATTTTCTTTTCCTACTTAGATTAAATAAGAGGATGATAGCAAGGATTTGGTAGAGTATCTAATTACTGTAAGTACTTCTTTGCTGGGTTGTGGCAAATGCCGCATTTACTGCGTAACTTCAGCCAGCCTGAATTGTGCATGGAAAAGCGGAAGCTGTGCTGGTGCATTTTTGCTTTTGTGTGCAATTAGGCAAATGTGTGATAATACTCTTGTGCTAGCATACTTTTAGGCGTAACACCATGCTGTAAGTGGCTGCATCCTGAGCGTGTCATTCGGTGCGTATTTATTTAAATCAATCTCATTTACATTTACAGTTACATTTACATTTACATTTACATTTGCCACATGGAATTTCATTAACAAGTGCAAACCAAAGTATGATTTTAATTAAAATGCTTTTGTCTGCTCAACTGGCAGGCAAAACTAAAAATGCAGTGCGTAAATTAATTACATAAATTTGGTGGAAATGCTTTCGAAAATGAGGATTGTTGAATCACACTAATTTTATGTGGAGCTGGTGAGTTCAGTGGTATGTTGTACTACAGCTAATATGCCTAAATTATATTACTAAAACTCAGCGGGCTGTGGAAATAAAAAACACTCTACTTTATTTGGAGTAAACCACAGGTATCTGTAGCGCTGCATTGCATCTCAATAAATATTTAGGTTGTATTAGTTTTAGGAGTTGAAATGCATTCATATTCATTTATATTATTATTTATATATTTATATATATATAGTTTCTTAATTAATGTCCATACTTTGTAGGTTGAAAATTCAAAAGTAGTACAAAAGAAATTTCTTTTTAAAAGCAAGGAGACAAAAAAAAACAAAAAAAAATTCCTACCTATGTACTCTATATTCACTTACAAAAGCAAACATAGCAATAAAATATATTAAAATATATTTTAGGCATAAGTCAGTACACACACACGACTCAAAAATTTTAAATTCAAATATTTTGCGCTTGAACAAACACTATTTGGGAATATTATATAGGAGTTCAACAACGCTTGTGAACCAGAGTTCGTTGAGTGCGATCTTGATCTACCAAAAAATCAAATAATCACAGAAAGTCATTACGCTGAAAGTGTGTCACTTAAAGTGACACACAAGCCCCACACAAGCCCCCGTAGCGTTATGGGTAGCACGTTCGGCTCATAATCGGTAGGTTATTAGTTCGAGTCTGCCCGTGGGCAAAAGGATTGTTTTTTTTTGCAAAATATTATTTGGTTGAATGGATCTCTTATTATATATTACCATAAGTCAGAGTCTTATTGATGTTTCAATGTTTAGTTAAAAAAATTTTTCTCTGCTAAAAACTATTACTTTTTCAAGTTCTTTAACCGACATTGGTGCTAAATGAATAATTAGAGTTTATTTAATGTTAGTTAAAACGAGTAGAGCAAAAAATAAACGCCACTGGACGGACTCGAACCGCCAACCGTTGGGTTAACAGCCCAATACGCTAACCATTGCGCCACAGTGGCTTGAATATCGATCATCCGAATTGCCTTGATAAACAATAAATGTTCACTAATACGAAGGGTAGTGGAGTAAAATGTTTTCAATCGATTGATCATGAATATTTGTTTATATATATATTGCGGTCTTATGCTTACCGACAGTCTTTTACTTGACAGAAATAACAAAATATGCAAAACTGATGTTATTTGTTTACATTAGTATGTGTTCTTCACAAATATTTTTGTCTACTTTACTCTACACTACACTACACAAATTCAAGTATGCTTAGTTTTAAGTTAAAAAATGAAATTACTATATCTTTCACATTTATTTAGTTATTAAATATTTTTTATGTGTGAGTTAAACTAAATTTTGACGAAATTGAAGAAAATACTGAAATGTGCAGATAAGATAGTTATATAGTTATTAAATTTAGTGTTTCTTTGGGTAAACTAAATTCAAACTAAATTGGTGCTACTATCATTCTGGAATTCTTATAAGCTATTTAAGAAACCAGGTACGTTATTTATATGAAATAAAAGGATAAAATAAAACATTCTTTTGAGAAAAGAAATTGAAGAAAATACTGAAATGCGCCGATAACTGATTTAAATTCACACTAAATTGGTACTATTTTCGTTTTGGAATTCTTATAAGCTAAAAATAATGTATCATAGTCGTAATTTTTTCTTTCATAAATGTAAAAAAACAGCATTAAGTATGGTCAAAACAAATTGGCATCACAACAATTTCGAATTTCGCAACATATTTCCAGTGAATTTCACAAAAGACTGATTTTTGAATCTGGCTGTACTAAGAGCATTGTTGTTACTTCATATGTTTTCTTTCGTAAGAAGAGAGCATTCTTTTGGTACTCTGAAAGAAAAAAATTACGACTTATATAAATTATTACTATACAAATTCAAATATGCTAAGTATTTCAATTAAAAAAATAATATCACCATATCTCTAAAATTTATTTTGTTATCAAGTATTTTAGCGGTGTGCGAGTTGAACTAAATTTTGACGAAATTGAAGAAAAAACTAAAGTTTGCAAAAAGGATAGTAATAATTCAATTTAGTGCATATTCGTGTAAACTAAATTCAAACTAAATTGGTACTACCACCATTTTGGATCTCTTATATGTTATTTAGTTAACCAGGTACGTTATTTATTTATATGAAAAACAATATAAAATAGAATGACAATATATAAGAAAGAATAGAAAATTAATTATGCTGACTTCGTAACTTTTAAAAGTAGATGCATCATATCTATTCTGAAGATTTTATTTTTTTCATTCAGCTTTTGTCAGTAGCATTTAATAACAAAAAATATTTACTTTCAGAACTATTATCCAATAGTTCCGTAAAAAATTTTTACGCACAGTACGTGATGAAGTTGTCAAAAGTCAAAACTCACAGTTCTATGAATTGTTCTGCTAAAATTCTATTAACATTTTCAGTTTTTATACAGAATTTGTATGGATTTTAAAAAGTAATAATACTTATTATTGCACATTTGTCGTACTGTGAAGAACATAGTATCCAAAAAATTTTCAGAATGTTTAATTAAGTTTATTATTTTAATCCAGTCAATTTAGTGCATCTCGCACACAGTCCAAGCTGTTTATTTGGATTATTATTAAGTCATAATTAATGTGTTAATAATAATTTTCATTGATTTTTTCTTCACTAAAATAAAACTAAATGAAAAGTCTTTTAACCACAAATAATTAAAGATTGAATGCTACTATTATTAAATAAAACGCTGTCAAGCAATTGAATGATTTAAATATAATATGAAGCCCACAAACTATTTGATCTTTTCGGAAACTCAAATCCACGGTAACCAATTAAAATATGTAATGGAAACTGTGAGCGAAAATATTTGCAAAAAGGACTATTTTTGAAGCAATATCAATATGACGCAGAGGAAGTACACAACTCTCTAAATTTTACAGTCCGGACATAATCAAGTTCGTCATATCATAGTCTTATGAATTGCACAGCTTGGTTTTGCTAGTCCTGTAAAGCTATTTTTCTTTCAATTAATTCTAAAGTTAGGAATTCTTAGAATCAATCTTATTCTGATCTTAAGCGAAACTTAAATAATTGTAGAACCTTAAAAGATGTACCAGACTTTGTTAATAATATTATCAGTATTTCATATGGGAAGGATATGGATTCAATTAGGTATGCTTGTTTGGAAATATCAACTGCATATAGCAAATAAATCACTTTATTAATTGAACTAATATAGAAGCAAAAGTATTTATTTAATTATCTATTTACACGTCCGAAAAGAAACCTTTTCATTGGTATATTTTTAACTCAGCTATTGTTTAAAATACTTAGATCTCATTATCTGTTTCTATGTTTGAGTAAGATATTTTATTCATTGCAGCCATTTTAGTGACAAGGCAATTAAGTCGAATGGTAAGCGGAATAGATGATTTGAGCAATAAGTGTTCTTTATATGCATGCACAAAATCCATTAGTCTAAAGTGTGGGATATCACCATTACCCACCATGCATATGTATAAGTCAATCAGACCAATCCTATTATAAGAATTGTTTGTATGGCGAACATCTATGTATAGAGGAATTAGCAGGACAAATCTGATTAAACTGCAACGCAGAACATAAATTTGTTAGTTCTGACACTTATCATAACTATAGAAAATCAAGTAGCTGCATAATCAGCTCTTAAAGTAAGGAACTGATTGTTCAGCGTAGCAACAAAGTGATAATGGACATGCTTCCATACTGTATTTCAAGTTCATATATTGAGCTTATATACATTACCCCACTAGAAATTCAATAAACAAAATCACTATTCCATATATACGGATGAATCCCAAGTGAACAACAAGGTAGAAGGAGGAGTCCAACTTCTCATCCAGAATATAAAAAGGACCTTCAATCTACCGGATCATTGAAATGTAATCCATGCAGAAGTACTTGTTATTGAAAAGGCAAGTACTCATCTTCAATAGGTACTTTTCTGAAATACGTATATATTCGGATAGTCAAGCTGCAGGGGGCTGTGCTCTGTGATGCTGAACTCAAAACCCATCATAAAGTGGTGAAAAACTTCTTGTACACTTTGTATTCAAACCACATTCAAACCAATTCCATACTAGATGAATTTGTTAGGTGACGCATAGATACGCCTTTTACCTAAAGCAAGAAGGAAACTAAAAATAAGGTGAAATCACTATTGAATCACATGTGAAAGAATAGCATTTTCTGCATAGAGAATCATAGATAATACGACTAGCAATGAACGACGAAAACACAAAATAAGTCGGATGGTTAGTGGACTTTAGAAAAATCTATTCATTTAATCGTACGTACATACTCTTAAGACAGGAAGTGTCAGAAATTGAACTCTATCAAATCAGAAGTTTTAATTTTGTGTTAATACACAGTGTGTTGAAATTTTCAATAAATATGTTAATATATATAGCTGTAGTTTATGCATTAATTCCAATTAGTTTTACGAAAAGAGCAAGATTTGTTTACAAATGTAATAAAATGTTAATGTTTGTGTTATACACTAAATCACAGTTAAATTTGCTTGAATTCATTTCCTCACACTTACAGTCCAAGAATTGTACATACGATCACTAACTCCATTTTTTAATGAATTTGTAATTGTCTTTACCATTAATCTACTTTTTTTAACAAATGTCAAACGATATTACTACACTCTTTCAACAGATCTGAGCTTACTTTAAATAAAACTCCATAGTTCATTATCTAATTCTATTTAATTAAAGATAGATTCTTTTACTATTCAGAGATTAAAACTATGATAACTTAAAGTGACACACAAGCCCTCGTAGCGTTATGGGTAGCACGTTCGGTTCATAATCGATAGGTTATTAGTTCGAGTCTGCCCGTGGGCAAAAGGATTGTTTTTTTTTTGCGAAATATTATTTGGTTGAATGGATCTCTTATTATATGTTACCATAAGTCAGAGTCTTATTGATGTTTCAATGTTTAGTTAAAAAAATTTTTCTTTGCTAAAAACTATTACTTTTTCAAGTTCTTTAACCGACATTGGTGCTAAATGAATAATTAGAGTTTATTTAATGTTAGTTAAAACGAGTAGAGCAAAAAATAAACGCCACTGGACGGACTCGAACCGCCAACCGTTGGGTTAACAGCCCAATACGCTAACCATTGCGCCACAGTGGCTTGAATATCGATCATCCGAATTGTCTTCATAAACAATAAATGTTCACTAATACGAAGGGTAGTGGAGTAAAATGTTTTCAATCGATTGATCATGAATATTTGTTTATATATATATTGCGGTCTCATGCTTACCGACAGTCTTTCACTTGACAGAAATAACAAAATATGCAAAACTGATGTTATTTGTTTACATTAGTATGTGTTTTTCACAAATATTTTTGTCTACTTTACTCTACACTACACTACACAAATTCAAGTATGCTTAGTTTTAAGTTAAAAAATTAATTTACTATATCTTTCACATTTATTTAGTTATTAAATATTTTTTATATGTGTGAGTTAAACTAAATTTTGACGAAATTGAAGAAAATACTGAAATGTGCAGATAAGATAGTTATATAGTTATTAAATTTAGTGTTTCTTTGGGTAAACTAAATTCAAACTAAATTGGTGCTACTATCATTCTGGAATTCCTACAAGCTATTTAAGAAACCAGGTATGTTATTTATATGAAACAAAAGGATAAAATAAAATATTCTTTTGAGAAAAGAAATTGAAGAAAATACTGAAATGCGCCGATAAGTGATTTAAATTCACACTAAATTGACACTTTTTCCGTTTTGGAATTCTTACAAGCTAAAAATAATGTATCATAGTCGTAATTTTTTCTTTCATAAATGTAAAAAAACAGCATTAAGTATGGTCAAAACAAATTGGCATCACAACAATTTCGAATTTCGCAACATATTTCCAGTGAATTTCACAAAAGACTGATTTTTGAATCTGGCTGTACTAAGAGCATTGTTGTTACTTCATATGTTTTCTTTCGTAAGAAGAGAGCATTCTTTTGGTACTCTGAAAGAAAAAAATTACGACTTATATAAATTATTACTATACAAATTCAAATATGCTAAGTATTTCAATTAAAAAAATAATATCACCATATCTCTAAAATTTATTTTGTTATCAAGTATTTTAGCGGTGTGCGAGTGGAACTAAATTTTGACGAAATTGAAGAAAATACTAAAGTGTGCAAATAGGATAGTAATAATTCAATTTAGTGCATATTTGTGTGAACTAAATTCAAACTAAATTGGTACTACTACCATTCTGGAACTCTTATAAGCTATTTAGATAACCAGGTAAGTGGTTTATTTATATAAAAAAGAGAGTGACAATATATAAAAAAGAATAGATAATTTAATATGCTTACTTCGTAACTTTTAAAAGTAGATGCATCATATCTATTCTGAAGATTTGTATTTTGAAGATTTTAATTTTTTCATTCAGCTCTTGTCAGTAGCATTTAATAACAAAAAATATTGGTTGGATAATAGTTCTGTAAGTTATTGCTAACAACAATCTTAGTTTGTGGACATGGCAATGATTATCCATTGTATACTTTAAAAAATTTTTACGCACAGTACGTGATGAAGTTGTCAAAAGTCAAAACTCACAGTTCTATTAATTGTTCTGCTAAAATTCTATTAACATTTTCAGTTTTTGTACAGAATTTGTATGGATTGTAAAAAGTAATAATACTTATTATTACACATTTGTCGTACCATGAAGAATATAGTATCGAAAAGTTCTTCAGAATATTTAGTTTAGTTTATTATTTTAATTTAGTTAATTTAGTGCACCTCGCACACAGTTCAAGCTCTTCATTTGGATAATATCTGTGCATCTGTGGGGTATAACAGGTCATTATTAAATCTTAATTTGTCTGTTAACAATAATTTTCATAGATGTTTGCTGCACTAAAATAAAATTCCTTGTCAAGGAATTGAATGATTAAAATATAATATGAACCTAGGTCGCGCGTACTGCATATGATAGTTGTAGAAATACCAATCATTATGTGAATACGCGATGATTAAAAATTTAAAAACTGGTAAAACTTATACCAGCTGGACAATTTGAGTGTGTAGACTTCAAGAACTAAAAGAATTAAACACTTGTCTCTAGACGCAAGGAATGTGGGCTTACTCTTCTTGGTCTGATCAATGGGGTAAAAACAATACTTAAAAGTGCAGAAGTATTTTTATTTCTAAACGAAATGATCAATGTTGAAGTAAGCTTTTTATGATCAATTCTTGTTAATCTTTAGAACGATCTCGACAAAAGCCTTTGTTGTGCAATGGCTAGCATATTTCGCTTATGATCGAAAGGTTGGTGGTTCGATTCCTCCCGAAGGCTTAAGGAAGTTTTCAAGTCCATATTTATAAAAATATGGACTATGAAGAAATTCTTTTGGCATATAAAACACAAAAATTGATTTTTTTTATGAGTAAAGTTTTAAGACATCTTACAAACTATACATAAACTGCAATTATTTTTAGAAGATGTGCGAGGGTGTTTTGATAAGTGCTGCACATTTGCTGGGCAGTAGCAAAACTAATGTTACGAGCTTTCTAGTTGGTTGTTGATTTTAAGAATTTACTGCAATTCTATATCAGCGTCTTGCCGTGATATATTACTCTTAGAGTAATTGCAAATCTAGTTGCTGGAAATGTGATATATAAGCTCGTACCCGATAGATCCATGATAGATACGAGAATGATCGTTAAAGTGATCTTACAGAAGTCTATTGTTCAGAGATTTTTTTTGATTCACTGATAGTAGCAATGAATATATAATGTTCTATATGTATGCACTGTAATGCTTTTTCAATATAAAAATTAATGTAAATATAATATATATAGCTATATTTAATAAGTAAATAAATATTACGGCCAAATAAAATCGCTAAGGTTCCGTACTGCAGTCAATGTTCTCATAAATAAAATAATTTTATTTAATTTAAAAAGTTTGCTGTGCAGTTGTTATGATATTAGCCTGCGATTAATTAATATAATATAATTGAAAATTAAAGAAATTAAATATTATTTAAATATATTGAATTACATTCGAGTTTCGTGTTTAAATTTTATTGCAAACAAAATCACAGGCAGTCACAGTGGTAGTGTTAATGTGTATGCAAATTAAAATTATGGACTGATGATGTACACATGAGTTTATTTTAGAATATACATCAAATCTATGTGTCATACGGAAGTAGTGATAATAAAATAGAGTGCTCAGTTTGCGGTCATGCAAAATTATTTAATCGCGAAAAAAAAGAACTTCATTGGAGCAATTTCAAACAATTCAATGGATTGCAGGCGCAAATGCGGTCGACAAAATTCAAAAATAATTCAACTAATAAATGCAAAATTTCAAAATTTCTATTAGTTCTACTTGTTTTCGGTTTATAAAACAGACTCCTAATTTATTAAGTTTATGGCTCATGTCGGTGTTTATTGCTGCGAACGGACCCTCTCAATTGGCACTGTCGATATCGAACCATCCCGCAAAGTATCTACAACGATGACACCAAAACTAAAATATTTGTTTATTATAAACGCATTTTATGAGTTCGAAATTGATGAAATTAATTTCATTGATAAAACAACAATAAACAAATGCTTCAGCGTCAATGAGATACGCGGACGTATTTCAATTTTTGTAGGTTCAATTGCAGATAATGAACTCGCGTCAGCGTTTAGCGATGTGAAAATGAATTTGCAATATCAAAAGAATTGAATAATTCAAAAACATTACTGAAACAATATTGCATATTCAGTAAATTTAACAGATTTATGTTTTCTTCTTAAAAAAGCAAAAATTTATATCACACGTCAGTTCCCTGATAGCTAGGTGCTGAAAGCAAAGAAGGTGATTAACCCAAATATTATATTATGAACCTTCTCAACTCTACTGGTAAAATGCTATGTAAGGAAACTTTTTGAGTTCCCCTGTGGTTCACTTTGTTTCTTTATTGAATAATTGTCTTAAAACTAGGATATAGTAATTTTATATCAAACACCTTAATATATAATTTCTCCAAAAGTATCTTGTATTTTTATAGAAAATATGATTAATATGAACTTAAGTATCTGAACATTGATTAACTCAAAATATCAAAAAAAAGGGAATTATGTTAATCTTTTTCTAATAAGAAATAATGTTTTTATTATGCTTTGATATTAATAATAATAGCTTATAATATGTATTTTCAACTTATAGAATAATATATAAGCTAGAGACTATTTCGTCCCGCTATGTTAATTTAATGCTCATTTAATAAAGATACTTAGCACTATCTAATCTCAGAGTAGCCATTAACCATACGTGGCAATACGCAGATCTTAGATCAGTCATTGAATAATCACGAAGTTTACGAGAAATACACAAATTAATCAGTTAGATGGGTGGAACTCTGCAGAAACGCCCCAGCTATTAAAGAGTAAAAGTGCCCAGATGCACGAACTCGGAAAATGGCCTACATTACTTAATAAACTATTTGACTTTTTGACTCTGAGTTAGAACAATTCTAATTAAGTACGATGTTTGGTCAGTTGTCTGCAATCTGGCCATTCACTTCCAAGTTCAACTTATACTTACAGTCTTATATACAATGATCCATCAAATATAAAGCATTATAGTAAAAGAATGGGGCCAAAGACGAGCTAATAGCTAAGTGGAATCTTTTATTGATTAAGACAAAAGTTAATAAAACTATATGCAGCAGAGAAGGAAATCAAATGCTATTCCTGTTATATATTATCGGAGCCAATAAACTAACCAAAATCTATACCGAATTGGTTTTTAAGAAGTCTTCTTAAAAGTTGTCTCTACTGGTACTACTTGAAGCACTGGAAATTAATGAAATAAAAATTAAAAATTAAAAATTAAAAAAATTCGAATTCTCATAGATTATTTTCAAAATTTTGAACTATCCAATGCATAATCCTATATTTACACTATTCGACTTAAGTAGATAAAAATACAGCAATATATGCCATTTTTCTAACAAAATCTGTACCAAATCTATACATAATCCATACAAAAGAGGTTCGATTAGTATAAACGTAAAGATAGTATTATATTACTTATATTATAGCAGTATTATTTTTACTGGTTGAAGAAATCAAATAATCTCAGTAAGTGAGGAAATTTCAAATTTGTTATAATAATTTACCTTCATAATTTTTTCTTCGAGAAATTCATTTCATTTATATTTTTCTTTCATATAGTATCAAAATTTTTCTGTCCCATGTTGGGTTATTTAAAAATCGCATTTTGCATTTTTGGAAATTGAATTAACAAAATCATGTGGATGAGCAAAGTTTACAAACTCATCAATACACCAGCTGTTCAACAGGCCATAACTGCTAAAAATGATGCCGTAAAGAAGTTCATATTACAGAAGTTACAGACTAAACCTCTACATTCCTCCGATGAATATGGTTTGAAGGCAGGAAATGCTACAAACAAAAAAATTGATTTGGTAGAAGCTGCTAAGGCTTTGAAACGTGAGTACCCTGAAAAGACATGTACTAATGATGCGTCTGCTGTTAGCCATGTAAGTATGGGAAGTGGTGAAAAATCAAAATGCGATCAGGAACTCAAATTAGCTTCAAAAGAACACAAAAAACATTTTGAAAAGTGGAACCGCTACCATTTGGTAGAAGCTGCTAAGGCTTTGAAACGTGAGTACCCCGAAAAGACATGTACTAATGATGCGTCTGCTGTTAGTCATGCAAGTATGGGAAGTAGTGAAAAATTAAAATGCGATCAGGATCTCATATTAGCTTTAAAAGAACACAAAGAACATTTTGAAAAGTGGAACCGCTACCATTTGGTGAAAGCTGCTAAGGCTTTGAAACGTGAGTACCCTGAAAAGACGTGTTCTAATCATACTTCTGCTGTTAGCCATGCAATTATGGGAAATGGTGAAAAATCTAAATGTGATCCGAATCTCATATCGGCTTTAAAAGAACACAAAGAACATTTTGAAAAGTGGAACCGCTACCATTTGGCGGAAGCTGCTAAGGCTTTTAAACTTCAGTACCCTGAAAAGACGTGTTCTAATCATACTTCTGCTGTTCGCCATGCAAGTATGGGAAATGGTGAAACTTCAAAATGCGATCCGAATCTCATATCGGCTTTAAAAGAACACAAAGAACATTTTGAAAAGTGGAACCGCTACCATTTGGCGAAAGCTGCTAAGGCTTTGAAACGTGAGTACCCTGAAAATACGTGTTCTAATCATACTTCTGCTGTTCGCCATGCAAGTATGGGAAATGGTGAAACTTCAAAATGCGATCCGAATCTCATATCGGTTTTAAATGAACACAAAGAACATTTTGAGAAGTGGAACCGCTACCATTTGGCGGAAGCTGCTAAGGCTTTGAAACATGAGTACCCTGAAAAGACGTGTTCTAATTATACTTCTGCTGTTCGCCATGCAAGTATGGGAAATGGTGAAACTTCAAAATGCGATCCGAATCTCATATCGGCTTTAAATGAACACAAAGAACATTTTGAAAAGTGGAACCGCTACCATTTGGTGAAAGCTGCTAAGGCTTTGAAACGTGAGTACCCTGAAAAGACGTGTTCTAATCATATTTCTGCTGTTAGCCATGCAAGTACGGGAAATGGTGAGGAATCGAAATGCGATCCGGATCTCATATCTGCTTTAAATGAACACAAAGAACATTTTGAAAAGTACCAACACCAACTTTTGATGAAAGCTGCTAAGGCTTTAAAACGTGAGTACCCTGAAAAGGCGTGTTCTAATCATACTTCTACTGTAAGCCATGCAAGTATGGGAAATGGTGAAGAGTCAAAATATGATCCAAATCTCATATCGGCTTTAAAAGAACACAAAGATCATTTTGAAAAATGCAAGGCTATGCATCAATATGATGTTGTTAACCTAACAAGTGTCATGAGTGCTAAGACTTTGAAGTACTATTCAGATCTCATGTTAGATGCCCAAAAACAACAAGGCGATTTGGAACATGTCGATGATAAGCTTCCGTATCCAACAAAAAATGTCTATATCGACCCAAAGCCGAATAGATCCCCATCAAAAGATAGACAAATACATTCTGGTAAGTATAATTTTTCTAATGTTAGTAAGATTTTAATTAGTTGATTGAAGTTAGATTTTTTCATACAAGTCACTCTTACCATTTTATTTTTAGTTAAGAAAATACGTAATAGACGTTTGCGAAAGAAACCCGCTTCCAAATGCGTAGCTGCTTCTATTCGCGAACCTGACCGAAATATGTTTTCCAGCGAACATGGCAATAATTCACGCCCGGTTGCTATGAGCAAGCACAGAGTACCGATGTCAATATATCGAAAGTATTCAGATGATAGAGATAATAAAATAGAGATTAAAGACATCATATGGGAGAAGTACATGTCGGAAGATGATGATGATGAAGACGATCAGTCTGATTGTATACCAACAAGATATGTTTCTGTTTCAGGGGAATGTCGAATTGCGCCAATTGATGTCGATGCTTGGGAAGATATGGAGGAAGCTTACCAGGGAACACTTCACACAAAGCCTTATGCAGACAATCCTTTTGAATATCCTCCACCGCCGAAAAATCGTACTGGAGAATACAAGTTTAGAGGCGTTACAGTCATTCTTCCAAAATCGTGGCTAACACCAGGACTATACCGTTATCGTTATGAGCAGAGAGACAAGGATGAACTGGCTGATGATATTCGCATTATTAAATTTCCAAAGTAAATCAAGATTTAATGTGAACAAATGAGTAAAAATTTATTCTGAAGATAGGTTTTATTTGGTTTTGCAATTCTTAAACTAATCATCCAGTTAACGTCTACACTTTAAATTGTTATGGGTAAAAAATATATTTTACAACTTTTTTTGGTAATTAAATTTTTGGCAATGGAAAACATTTTCTTTTTTGTTTTATAATTTTTAAAGAGAAAACATGACATCAGTCGAAGTACGTTGTTGGCTCAGGTTCTTTGTAAAAGGAAGGTTTTCATTTAAATTATTTGCGATCTTCCTTTCAATATAAAATGCGTTACTTGTAGGTGGAAAAGTTTAACCTTTTGCAAGTATTTATTTTTAAATAGGTTTTTAATTTAATCAGTGTTATTAATCTAAATGAAATGCATTTACATTCTTTATTGATCTTGGTTACCAAACAAAGAAAATGATGCAGTTCATTAATCAAGGATAAAAAAAAGAAGTTATGCGAGGCATGTTTAATTTTTTATTAAATTTGAAGTTAAGGTTATTCTGTCCAGTCATGTTAAATAAAAGAGTCGACCATCTAAGTACTAGTCAGAATCATAACAGATCACCGGTTAAGAGAGACTGGATCTGTTGTTGTGAGCGCTATAAAAATAAAAATAAAAACAACTTAAATTTTTCGTGATTCATATTTGAATTATCTAAATTCCGATAATGCCTCTTAGTAATACAATAACTGTCCATTAAGTTAGTCTAAATGATTTTATTTTAAGTAGCAAATAGACTTCAAATGGAAATCCTATAATTAATATAAAAGAACCATAGATTGAATCAACCATAAAGTCTACATAGTATCAAAACAAAATCGCTTGCTAAAGGATTCAAAATAATAAAGTCGTACCGAGTAGACGAGTTTCTCAAAGGGGGTGTATAAAAAAACCCAGTATTACATTTAAAAGATTTGGGTTTATCAGTGGTAGCAAACCAAGAGTTTGTTGAAATCCAACTGAATTGAGCAATTTAATATAAAATGGGAAGACTAAACGTTATCAAGAAAGAAGAACAAGATCAGTTTTATCAAGAACAGTTGATATTGAAATCTCCTGCAAGGACATCAGTCTTATGACAGATTTATTGTCGGATCTACATTAGAACAGTAATTATCTCGTTTAATCATTCCTGTGGCAGTTAAGGAAAAAACGATGAAAGTCCATCACATCTGCTTTGTTTCAATCGAGCACATTCATTCTAGGGACTAAGTTTATAAAAAATCTCGTGCAAAGATCATTCAAAGATCACTCTTTAAAGAGCATTAAGGCTTAGTCAAGAGTTCAAGACACTTTCTAAAATTTCTTGAAATTTTTGAAACCATGTTAGAAATTAAATGTCGCATTGTAAAAAAAAAGCGAAGAAAGTGCTTAACATTTACTTCGTAACTATCTAGCGTATGCGCAACGTTGACTAATCACTGTAGGTACTTATTTTTTGGAAGAATCTTATATTAGGCTTTGTAAAGGGTTTAAGGTCATTTTGGAGTTTCTTAATTTTTATATGTTTTTTAGTAGATTCTCATACAATCAAAACTAACCTAACAAAAGACAATATTAAGATGCATTGTAAGAATGACAATCAGACAGTGATTTTATTGTGACAGTGATATACTGACAGTTAGTTAACTTTACAAGAAAATTGACTTTAATTGATTCTCATCGCATTTATAAAGAGCAAAAAAAATAATATTTTACCACTGTTCATTGCATATGCAAGGTAATCTTCATGCTTTTGACTTATTTTCTAAAAGATCTAAGTCAGCTACAAGATGTATCTTTTAAAAGCATTTTTAGCTTTATTAAGGTTTCAAGTTTTTATTGAACCCTGTAAGTTTTAAACGATAACTAATATGCCAAAGTAAACAATTTTCATCGTCATTACAAACTTATCTAATTTAAGCTGCTGATTCTTCTGTGATATAGCAATAGGTTATTAATTGAGCTCATAGTGTTGGGCTTTGGACATAGTGTTGACATTCCAAGTTAAGACGCTTTGGACACAGTATCGCCACTTCAACCTAACCTAATCTTACCAGTAATCTGGATTCAAACTAAATTGTCGTTCTATCAAATTTTGTTCCCCGTTCGTACCTTTTAAGAGTGATTTATTACTTTTGTGGTTGTGTTAGTAAGCATTTATATTTTCCACAAACACATATATCGAAACAAATCAAGTTTTAATTACCTTCAAGTCAAATGAAAGAACTGTTCATTTCATTAGAGATCATAACAGATCATATAATCTCAATTATTATAAATTCCGTGCGATATTTATCAATCAAAAATAATAACTGCACTAAAGTGAATCTCGTTTGATAAGGAGAGTAAAGGGTAAGATTTACCAATAAAAAAAGGCATTAAAAATTTAGTCAGAAATTTGGCATATAAAAAAAAAATATTTTTTTATAAAAGTTTATATTTGTTTTTGAGTTTTTATTAAATTTTCAAGCTTTGTTAATCATTTTTGATATGTATTTTTCATTCAAAAATTGAGCTCAGTTCATTGTCATATCCTAAAATTTATTTCAATATATCAATTTATTTTTGCATAAAGAGATTTTATTGGAAATAATGAAATTTATCTCAAAACTGAACGATCTAGATTCAAAATCAAAACAGTTTCAGTTTTCAACAGGATGAAGTGTCAACAATTTTATATGACAAAATTTACTAGAAAGAACGCTCCGTCTTTAGTGATGTTCGCAGTATAGCAGATTTTATATGACTGCAAGTCACAAAATATTTCAGATTAACAAACTAAACTGAAATAAAAATAATTGAACTCATACACTTGAGAAGTTGCAAATTTTGCGTTTCTTTTCTAAATTTTAAGATGATTCCATAAGCGTTTCCTTAACGAAAAGGATATACTTGTTCACATTTACACAGAAAATCCATCATTTTTATATGCAGACTGTTATGTTGCAGTGTATGATTCGGAGCGATTGCTTAAAGTGTTACACAACACTGAAGGATGCAAAACATTGGGAATTAAGGATGCATGGCAATGGCACATAACAATTTGCTCCTTCCTTTTTGATGTGTAGACAAGTACGGAATTACCCAAAGCAACACAAATTCACAAACAAATAAAATTTACGTTTGTCACAGCTTCGTTGTGTGTCTGTTTGTGTCTGTGTGTGTGTATGTGTGTGTGTGTATGTGTGTGTGTGATTGCGTATTATGCTGCACTATGACACTAAATAGCATTATCCTTATTACGACATGCGAAAGTAATAAAAAAAAATTGTTATGCTTATTATGCTCGTTTGTATGTGTGTGTGTGTGTGCTTGGTGGTGTGTTTGTGTCTGTGTCTGTGTCTGCAAACAGTAAAAGTCTTAACTTCTTCTTTCATTATGTGTCCACAAATATATAAAATATTGTATTATGTATGTATTTATGTATATGTACGTATATGTATGTGTTTATTCATATCTAAATGTGGTTGCTGGTTTAAGTTGGTGTAAGTAAAATGTAAGTAGCAAAGCGTGCGTAAAATTTTTGTATTCCTTTTGGGAAATTGCACATTAGAAGAGCAATAATAATACTAGTATTAAGTACAACTACTCCCACCGATGCAAGGACAACGAACAAGGCAACAACAAATATTATGAATTATGTTGATTATATGAAGGATACTTGATCAAAGCGAATACACAAAAATATTTTTATATCACACCAAAAATTACACAAGAAGCACACACTCAATATCTCCTAGTCCTTTGTCGACATATCCTTTTTAATAATTTTATATATGTAAATACAATTGTTGCTTCATGCTCTCATATATGTATATATATATATATATGTATATATGAGAAGATTTAATTAAAATCTAAAAGAGAGTAGAACTGATGACATTGCTTCTTCTGTGCATAATTGATTTAGGAAATATACAGCATGCGAGAAAATTACGTTAACAGAGATAAAAAGAATGACGAAATTTGTTAACCAAAAAAAGAAAAACAAAATTAAATAAAATAAAACAAAATAAAATAAACCAAAATAAAATAAAATAAAATAAAAATAAATAAACATAAAATGTCTTTTATATGTTTAAAGTGATAAAACATGACTAAAATGTGTGAAAAATGTACAAATATATCGCACTTGGTCAGTTAGGGAAACAACAGTGCGTATGAGTGACATTTTTACGTATGACCAGCAATTTGTGTGGAAAACGATAAGCATCGTCAACGTACTTTGTTGTGTCCTGTTAGATATAAATATGACGTATAGCCAAAATATGTTGTAATAGTGCTTTAAGTGTTTGAATTGTGTAGCATTTAGTAAGTAATATTCGAAAAATTTAATAGAAAAAAAATCTAATTTGTTATAAAATTATATACTTTTAGAAACTAAAAATATGCAATCATATACAATTCAATCATATACAATGCATGGATCCTTTCGAAGTACCCTAAATTATTTAAAAATAGACATTTTAGTGGAGTCATCTTTTAAAAATTGGATGTGTCGATAAAATAAATGTTTCATTGATTTATTGTCAAATTTTCATCATATTTGAAAGAAAATACGTTAGTAGTTAGTAGTACATTCGACCCACTGAGTTAAATACAAGTGTCCAGTGATGGATATAATTTTATTAATTCCTATGTATCTGTCGCAACAAACACTTATACTTATTACGCTAAAATAGCTCCAAACAGCGCTTAGATACATTATCATAGCAAAAACCTCTTCGATATCTATCCATATTTCAGTTTACGATTTTTCAAAATAATATAGTGAATATTATCTATACTTTTTGAAATAACAATCAAAACTATTAGATTTCTGTTATAGAACCGCTGTTATACTTTGCTAGTAGTTACTGGGCTAGTAAGACACTTTTTGCCAATAGTAAAATAGTATTTAATCAACGCCAGGATTTATTTCATTTTTGACTGTTTTACAAATACGGAAAGTCACTTTACTTCAACAACTAAAACTCAATGATAAATGGTGGAAGAGTCATAAAATTTGTATACGTTTCGTTCGAACGTTGCCATTTATAATAAATTCTTGTAGCGTTTTCTACAAGTGCCGTTGCCTGATAGTTAATACTGAGATTAATGAATTAATAACATTTAATCTTTCTTGCACAGCTAATTACTGAAGAGTTTGAAGGCCA